ACCTCAACAAAAAGAGGTCATAATCATAGAAGAAGAGGGTACTAACGACCAACAACTTACCATCTAGAAACCAAAAACTATATCCTCAGAAATTGTTGATGATTCGGAACTCCTCCATGCGATTCAAGAAGAAGATCGGTGTTGATGAACTTATTCATCTAAGTTTGGAAGATTAATTAGGTAAATTGAACCCTTCATCAACAAGGTGAAGTTCTCACTCTGAAGACTTGGTATGACTAAGACATAGAGTTGCAGGACGGCTGGAGAGGTTTCCATTCCATATTAAATGATATTTGACCACTTAAAATTACATATAAGTTTAACGATTCTCATACTTAACTCTAGATGTTAAAAATCTACTTAAACTACTAACATTAATATTTACTATCTAAGAAACAGAATGGTGAATTGGATGGACTGGTTCTAATCAATTATATTACTAAAAGAAATTCTAAAACGAAGAAATCGTTTTAGATGTCGTTAAATGACGATGGAAATCGAATGAACCAGGATGACAACTATATGATGTGGGTATGAAGTGGAGTGTTTTAGATGCTGATGAAATGGGTTTAGGAAATCATTAAATTGAGTTGATCATAATATCTTCGAAACCGAAAGTAAGATATCAATATATAAAGTAATCCAAAGTGACCCAATTATTTTTTTCTTTTCTCCCAGATAGCTAGGCAAATAGAAATGGGTATATCAAATAGAAAATAAAGATAAATAAGTAAGATTTATTATAGGCTTTTGCAAATACATGTTTCCGTTATCTTACAATTTTTCAGAATTGTCCTTTAATTGGAGTGGTGGAACCTGTGTTTGCCCCTTCTGTTATGATCTATAGAGATGGTAAGAAGGTCTTATCGATTATTGAAACTTTAATCAGAGTTCCGACCTAATCAGGTTTATTGATTAGTCGGCAGTCAACAAAAATGAACATAATAATAATAATAATAATAATGGGTAGAAAATAAAAATTAATTTAGGTGGGGTTTAACTTTCCATACCTGGATTAATCTTGGCCTATTGGTCATACAATTTTTGAATATGAATAATTATTTATTTAAAATCACAAAAAGAAAATAGCAGAACTTATTTATTATGCAGTATATTTACTGTATTATATCTTAGCCTTATTGTGATTAAATTTTCATATTATTGAAAGAGAAAATCTTTTTTAATTTAAATATTCTTAATGAAAATACAGTTTTTCCATCTTTAATTTATATAATAATTTTTAAATTGTCAATTTAACAAGATAAGCTTCCCTAAATTTTAGCAATAAAAAATTATTAATATTATATTATTCTTATTACTACCTGTTAAGGAATTAAACACAATAACAAAAAAATCAATCAATAAGTACTTAGTTTTAATTAATTAGTGAGATTTAGTCACCTGGTGTCTTTGTAAATTGCTTGTCTTTGTTATATCTAAATGAACTTTCTGAAACCTTTGAAAACTGACTTAACTAAATTTAATCAAAAGTCATTTGAAAGTAATAGGCTATCTATTTTCTTTTCATGAATCGACTTTCGAATCTTATTTGAACTCGTATTAAAAAATCACCAATATCAGGTTGTTTTAGATCGTGTTTTGGACAGTTCATTATAACCTAGTGTCAGCATAAGGACAAAAATTTTAAGGCATCAAATTTAAAAAGACCCCATTTCTCTATACCTAAACAACTTTTTCTACTGAAATAAATAGCAAGATCAAAAGTATTAGCAGTTTCGTAGAAGTCTTTAACCTTAAGCTCAAAGGTATATAGTATCTTCTTGATCTCTTAATCCTAATATGTCTTCATTACATTTACAATCATCCTTTCCTTGTCTTTAAGTCCTTTCTAATTACTCAAGTCAACATTTGATTTATAAAAATAGGGTTACCTTCTAGTAATTTAATACCAATTAATCTCTACACCCGTAATACTTAACATGTCGTTTCTTCTGATGTCCATTAGTCTTATTTACATTAAATTAGTCAGAATTATTTTTGGATTTCTGGTTGAATTATTAAGTCATGGTCTAGTCTCAATTTAAGGAGAGGAGATAAGTCTTCAGCATCTTTAGTCTCTTCCATTACTGACTGAGGGCTTTTCACTTAAAATTTTCCTATCACGCTATGGGGGAAGATAGCGGGTGAATGAATCATAAAAGGGAAGTCAATAAAGATATATTCTGTTTTGGAAATTAATTTTATTTATTAAATTCAAAGAATAAATTTCTCTAAAAAACAATATATTTTAATTTGTGAATTATTAAATCTAACCCCATTAGAAAGTATATTAAATACTCTTTAACCTTAATTTAATAAATTAACCAACCAATAATTTCGGTTTAAATAAATCACACTATAGTTTAGATCAAGAAAAGATTGCTAGGAGAATCATTTGAATCAAACGACTGTTTAAAATATATTTAGAAAAATAGAAACTATCAATGACCAAAAATGAATACAAGTAAAATAAGACTGTAACTTATACCTAAAAAATGCTTTAAAATGTAAGAAGAACAAAATAAAGTATAATTTATTGTTTTAATACAAGTAAAAAATAATGTTTCAGATATGGTCCTAAACCTTCTAAATAAAAACACTATCTTTTTCAGAACAATACTTAAATATTATAAATTTGAGTAAGAAAAACACAATTTTGAGATCCTTATCAAAACAATATGAAAAAAGCCTATAACAATAACATTCATAAACGAAGCCCGCATATTTTAATGAGTTCCACACTCTGATTGAGGTCAGGACACAATCTTAAACTCAGAGTAATATAACATTTCACTAGTGCCTATTATCATAATAGACTTATATTGCTTAAAGTCTCAGCAAAAATATCTAATTATCTTTTTATATAAATTATTATGATAAGAAAAATTAAAATCTCTCTTTAGCAACATACCTATTGTTATAACTGCTCTGATTAATAATTAAAAAAATACTCAATTTAGATAAAGCAACTAATTTAAGTCTCTTGAAAAAGGAAACAATGTTTAATCTTATTTCCTATTTTTCTCAAATTGATATTCTCAAGTCATCCTCCATTAATTTACATTTGTATTTCATTTATTTTATATCCTCCCTAATAGTAAGATTTAAATAAAATATAAAAAATCATTAAATATTTGAATACTTTATTGAAAAATCCCAAATATTTATCTAATACAAACAAAAGGCTTTTTGAATGCTATTAACACCAAAAATATATTTTTTTAATAAAATCTTTGATTATTAACCAGGTTTGGAATTCCTAAATTTTATTGATATTTTTATAAATAAATTTTGGATACTTCTCAAAAAATAAAATGGGTAACAAAAATTAAAAGGAAAAAGATAATGATAGTGCTAGAGCTTTTGAGCATTACTCAAGAAGTAAAGTAAATTATTTAATATAATTATTTTTAGAAGCTTTAAATTGCTTACAGAACCGAAAAAGCAATTTTAGAAATTAACAAAGCTTTGAATCTTAATCCTATATTTGCAGAAGCCTACACATTAAGAAGTTCATTGTTTTAATTATCAATTTAGGTGAATTATATGAATAAATGAAATTGTATGATAAGGCTTTGAAGGATGTAAATTGTAGCTTGTCTATTAACAACAATAATGCAGAAAGTTATTATTAAAGAGGTATAAATTAAATCTTAATTTAAGCAACAATTTATTGGAGATAAAAAAAATTGAATCTAGCTTTAAAAGACTGTTGGAAGTGTATTTAGATTAATGCAAACTTTGCTATGGGGTATAGTAGATTAGGTAACAAAATAAAAATAAATTTTTAGGCACTATTATGGGGGAATTGAAAGAAATAGAAAAAGAACTCGAATATCACACTGAGGCTATATAAAAAGATTGTAATTGTTATTATGCATTTATGTGTCGAGGTAACATAAAATTTAATTTTTAAGGGGGCGTTTATATGGATGAAAAAAAATTTGACTAGGCATTAAGAGATTTAAATTAAGCAATTTAAATCAATCCACAATATAGTTTAGCCTTTTATAATAGATGTTTTAAACTAATTATTTAAAAGGCTTGTTCTATTTAAATACTGGTGAGCAAGACAAAGCATTAAATGACTGTAATAAAGCAATCCAACTGGATCCAAAATTTGCTAATTCCTATTATGATAGAGGTGAATGCTATTCAATATATAAGGTCTTATATATTAAAAAATTGGTGACAAAGCCAAGGCTTTATATGACTTTAATAAAGCAATCCAACTTGAACCAAATAATGTGATAGCCTATTATAAGAGAGGTGAATATATTTACACTTAATATAAAAGGAAATTTTTATTAAAAAATTGGTGAGTATGACAATGCTATAAATGATTATAATAAAGCAATCCAACTTGATCCTAATAATGCTATAGCCTATCTTAAGAGAGGTGAATACATTTACACTTAATATAAAAGGAAATTTTTATTAAAAAATTGGTGAGTATGACAATGCTTTAAATGACTATAATATAGCAATCCAACTTGAACCTAATGATGCGTCGATCTATCATAATAGAGGTGAATACTATTACACTCAATATATAAGGCCTTTTATATTATAATATTGGTGAGAAAGACAATGCTTTAAATGACTATAATATAGCAATCCAACTTGAACCTAATGATGCGTCGATCTATCATAATAGAGGTGAATACTATTACACTCAATATATAAGGCCTTTTCTATTAAAATATTAGTGAGAAAGACAAAGCATTAAATGACTATAATAAAGCAATCCAACTTGATCCAAATAATGCGTTAACCTATCATAATAGAGGTGATTACTATTACACTCAATATATAAGGCATTTTCTATTAAAATATTGGTGAGAAAGACAAAGCATTAAATGACTATAATAAATCAATCCAACTTGATCCAAATAATGCATTAACCTATCTTAATAGAGGTGAATACTATTACACTCAATATATAAGGCATTTTCTATTAAAATATTGGTGAGAAAGACAAAGCATTAAATGACTATAATAAATCAATCCAACTTGATCCAAATAATGCATTAACCTATCTTAATAGAGGTGAATACTATTACACTCAATATATAAGGCATTTTCTATTAAAATATTGGTGAGAAAGACAAAGCATTAAATGACTATAATAAATCAATCCAACTTGATCCAAATAATGCATTAACCTATCTTAATAGAGGTGAATACTATTACACTCAATATATAAGGCATTTTCTATTAAAATATTGGTGAGAAAGACAAAGCATTAAATGACTATAATAAATCAATCCAACTTGATCCAAATAATGCATTAACCTATCTTAATAGAGGTGAATACTATTACACTCAATATATAAGGCATTTTCTATTAAAATATTGGTGAGAAAGACAAAGCATTAAATGACTATAATAAATCAATCCAACTTGATCCAAATAATGCATTAACCTATCTTAATAGAGGTGAATACTATTACACTCAATATATAAGGCATTTTCTATTAAAATATTGGTGAGAAAGACAAAGCATTAAATGACTATAATAAATCAATCCAACTTGATCCAAATAATGCATTAACCTATCTTAATAGAGGTGAATACTATTACACTCAATATATAAGGCATTTTCTATTAAAATATTAGTGAGAAAGACAAAGCATTAAATGACTATAATAAAGCAATCCAACTTGATCCAAATAATGCGTTAACCTATCATAATAGAGGTGATTACTATTACACTCAATATATAAGGCATTTTCTATTAAAATATTGGTGAGAAAGACAAAGCATTAAATGACTATAATAAATCAATCCAACTTGATCCAAATAATGCATTAACCTATCTTAATAGAGGTGAATACTATTACACTCAATATATAAGGCATTTTCTATTAAAATATTGGTGAGAAAGACAAAGCATTAAATGACTATAATAAAGCAATCCAACTTAAACCAAATAATGCGTTAAACTATCTTAATAGAGGTGAATACTATTACACTCAATATATAAGGCATTTTCTATTAAAATATTGGTGAGAAAGACAAAGCATTAAATGACTATAATAAATCAATCCAACTTGATCCAAATAATGCGTTAACCTATCATAATAGAGGTGAATACTATTACAAAAATATATTAGCCATATTATATGAAAATATTGGTGAGATAGACAAAGCATTAATTGACTAAAATAAAAATATCCAACTTGATCCAAATAATGCGATAGCCCATTACAATAGAGGTTAATACTATTATTACTAACATTTTAGCCCTACTATATTAACATAAAGGTTGGCAAGACAAAGCATTGAATGACTTTAATCAAGCATTTCAATTAGATCCAAATTTTGTCAATGCCTATTTTGGAAAAGGTTTTATCTCCAAATTAGTATTTTAGGTCTTATCTTATAGGATTTGAAATAATTTGAACAAGCAATAATATGCTTTGATAAAGCCATTTCTCTTGATCCAAATCAGATTAATATTTATTATAACAAAGGTTTTATGTTTAATATCATTTAGCAATTTCATTAGAAAAATTGAACCAAATCTTTTAAGCAATAAAATATTATAAATTAGCATTAACATTAAACCATCCTTCTTAAAATTAGATTTCTTAGAAAATCACCAAACTTCAAGGATGCTAATGACAATGAACTTAAAAGCAATAAGTTGTAATATTTCATTATTGTTACACAATAAAATAGAAAAAATTATTCTATTTAAAGTTTTACTTTCTCCATTATATATCCAAGCCAAACATCCATTGTTATAAAGTGTTTTCAAAATCCTTTAATCAATTTTCTTATCTAGAGATTCAAATTCTTTATAAAGGTTTTGGAATAAGAAAATTTCATCATCACCTGTAAATTCTCAATTCAAAGATTTCATATTTTTAAGAACTAATTAATTAATAATTTAAAGAAAATTTACTTTCTAAATTCGTATAAAAAATCCTTCATCAGATTCAATTCTTAACTTAAAGAAGTATTGATAACCTCTTAACTTAAAATTTTTATTATATAAATTACAGTCAAATTTGTAAATTTATAATTTATAATGAATTTATTATAATCCTTTGCACATACTAAAGATAAGTTACTTAATGAATGATTTTAATTTTAAATATCTCTTGAATTATAGTGGATATCTAATCTTTTTAACAAAATTTTCTTCGTTTTAGATATTATTTTACATTACATTAGGATAAATTAAATGGCTTTCAAAATAAATTAAAATGTTATGGAATAGGATACATCAAAAAAAAATTCTCAAATTTTATACTGTCTAAAATAGAAAACCACAATAAAGTTTATAGTC